ATCAGAAAGGATGTACAGACGTCAATTCCAACCATTTGCATTTCTAGCTGCTCAATGTAGGCAGGGGCTGAATCAGAATAAAGCAGATCAGGGCCCTTAGGTCCTCGACAGTACGGATACTTTTGTAAGACAGGTAGTACAGACTAGTGTACCGAATCTGGGCAGCCTTCAGCTCATAATTATACTTCAGAAACACACAAGGATCATGGCTATGAAGTGGTGAAAAAGGCATTCAGCAAAATAACCACAAATAAAAAGGTTGCCAAAATGTAGCAAAGGGTTGAAACTAGGGGTGGGTATTGGCAAAGAAGTCATGTTTGATTCGAATCACGATTCACATGCCACGATGCGATTCTATCATGATGCATCATGATACTTGAAATATTGCGATGTATTGCGATATTTTCACTGAACACTGTAAGAAAAAGATACAGCCATTACCAGTGGCTGACTGGCTGGGTATGATCTGGATAGTGTCTTCAATTGATACATAACTGAAAGCAACTGAATTCATACATAGCTGTATTTACTGAAACAACCTTTGGAGGTGTTGCCATGAAAACAAATACTGGACACAAATATTACTATTACTGGTGTGGACACACTGACAAAAATATCTTAGGATTCATCAAACTTAAAATAACAAAATATGGATAATCAGTGCCGTTTACATGGCCTCAGTGGTCCTTTAAACCAATGAAATGAAAACATTCAAATGTATATTTCCCCTTTTGCAAATGACGTACGTCATATCAATTTCATTTTTACCTTCTTTGTTTTTAAAGCCAAAATGCATCCAAGCATCTGACTTGAAATGTGATGGAGCCGCAGGGTGAATTTTCATAGTGTCCTCCATGTTTTATTTCATATGACTCGTCGCAGTATCCCACGGCCGGAAATGCTAGTGACACAAGGCAGCGGGGGTCAAAATAGGGCTGGGCGATAATTCAATAACGATATAAATCGATCGATAGACATGAGGCGCAATAGAAAAAAAGAGAGTCAATAAAAGTTCGATAAAAAAACGCAGTTTTCCTTCCTTCTCATTGTAGCCTAGCATGTAGGTTTATGCTACTTCCTCCCAACCAATCACAATCGCGGACCCAGGCACGCTGTCACCAAGCGCCGCCCTCTCAAACCACAACACAGAGCACATGAAGATGTCGCAGCAAGGAGAGGCGGAGGAAATTGTTCCAAAGAAGGGTTTTTGTAGTTCGCCAGTTTGGCAGTATTTCGGTCATGGCAAGTCGGACAAAAAACAAACCACAGTCATCTGGAAAATGTGTAGGGAACCAGTGAAAACGAAGTCTGATAACACAAACAACTTTTTTTTTTATCATCTCAGCCGCTCACACCCGCAGGAGTACGAGCTGTGTAGGCCCCGGCGCGGCTCTGCATCGCCTCCGAGGAATCTTCGGGAATTTCGGCAAAATATATATATATTTTCAGATCTGGGCAGTTTCACACGTAGTTCTAACAATTGAGAGAAAAATGCTGAGGGGCCAGAAACTTCAAAGTACTAACTCAGGTTAAAGCAGGAAACTAAGCTGAACCAGGTTCACCAGGTTCAGCTTAGAAGAATGCGGGGGGGGGGGGTCCATTTATTTATTTGTTATATTTCTTTTGGTCACTTTTCTGGTCACTTTAGTTTATTCTTTGTCAGTGTTTAATAACATAATCCAGGTCTCTTAAGTTATTTTTCCTTAAAACAATTCTGTTATGGTTAAAAAAGTTGGTTAAATAAATATTTAATTGGAAGTCTGTGTTTGTGTTCTTTATTAAAATTAAATCATTTAGCAATATCATAAAAAGTCCAGGCAGAGCTGCACATAAAATATGGTTTCAAATCTTTTCAATAATTATCGATATCGATCAATATGCATTTTTTTTTTTATCGATAAGCTTTTTTTCTATATCGCCCAGACCTACGTCAACACATCCACAGCGACATCTGCTGGACTGGAAGTTGTATTCCACTTGGTTTGGCTGATGTGCGCCAACCATTCATGTATTTTATTTGTTCATTTTTTTTAATTAAGAATTCTTGCCATCAAGAATCGATGCAGTAGATCACAAGAATTAGAATCGCGATGCATCGTCATGGCGATTATTTTGCCATGCCATAGTTGAAACTCTCCATTAAAAAAAGAAAATATGTAAAAGTCTGCATATTTGCATGTGTCACAGAGAGTACATGTAAAGCAATAATGTGGTTTTGTTCATTTTTAAATAGTGGGCTATGGAGGACCAGTAGAGTCACTAAAAAAGAAAAGCAGCCATTTCAAATGAAGCACTTAAATCATACAAATATAAATCGTATTTAAAAAGCATTTAAATCTAAATTGTATTTATCAATACATTATAAAATCATTTGAACTGTAAATGGAGATTTAAAAACCACAATTCATAAATATCATTCTAAAAACTTTTTCTAATCACACATTTCAAAAAGGTAATTCCTTTTTTCATTTCCATTTTCTTTTTCACCTTGCAATTTCAAATATTTTTTACAGTTGTATTTTCTTTTTCCTTTACCTTCTCCATTTACCTTTTTCGTTACCCTTCTGGTCCCAAAACTATTTTCAAATCTCAGTATTTAATAAGAGATTAATAAATATAATGTACAATTCCTTTTTTCAATTTAGAATGCACAAATAGGAAACACTTTCCAAACTGGATTCCTAATTGTATGATGGGTAGCGCTGCTGCCAGCTTGCAGCAAGATATTATATAATATTTTTATATATATATGTGTATATTTATTTATGTATATATATATACGAAGGATTTTTGCTGTGTTTTATATATATATATATATATATATATATATATATATATATATATATATATATATATATATACACATATATAAAACACAGCAAAAATCCTTCGTCATCTTTATTGTTGACAGGCTGCAGCCATGTCTTGAATTCCTCGTTTTCCAGCTCCTTTTGTTGAAATGTTCCTTTTCCCTCATTCTCTAGCTTTTTCTCTGCCTCAAGCTTCTTTTCCGAACATACAGCTTTACAAAAAACTGGAAGCAGTTCCGCTCAAATATATTGCGACATAATATATTTGAAATAGTTTTTTTTATTATTTATATACCGTATTTTCACGACCATAAGGCGCAACGTACTAAAAGGCGCAGTCTCAGTTATGTGTCCCATTTCTGTATTTAACACACACATAAGGCGCACCGGACTATAGGGCGCGTTTTTTATATACAGGTACATGTCCTCTACTACCTTTAAATAGCTCTACTGCGTATTTAAAAATACAGCGAGGGCAAAACTGATTATGACTGTGCTTTATTCATGTATTTATTAAAAAGTATTAATCAAACCTGGCAGCTGGCCGTGAGACAGACACAGCGCTGTGATCACTCCTAAATTAACTTAAAATCCTGAAACCTGCCGACGGAATATGTTCGCTTTTATGGGTGCCTGCAGTTTAAATTATTTAGATGAAACACACCTGCCAGCAGCCGCAGTGAACCCGGAGGCTACCCTGCTTAGAGGCTGCTGATGAAAGGATTTCTCCTGTCGGCGCACCGCTGGAATGTGGGGGTCTGAGCGCCTCTGACAGAAATAGATAATCTGGATGAACTGACTGCAATTATTAAGTTTTCAGGTGGACTTTCTCACTTAAAAACATATTAAAACTACTTTATTCCCACTGATCACAGCAAATATAGCTGCAAGATTTAGATTATTTAGATGAAAAAACACCTGCCAGCCACCGCGCTGAAGAGGAGGAGACCCGGCCCAGAGGCTGCTGTTGAATTAAGTTTTCAGGTAGAAAAATAGAGCGGGAGCAAAACTGAGTATGTTTGTGCTTTATTCATGTATTTATTACAAAGTATTAATCGAACCCATCAAAGTCATCATCCTCTGTTTCTGAATTAAACAGCTGCGCTAAATCAGACATGCCAATTTCCCCTTCTTCGCTGTCAGTCACTTTCCGTGCAGCGCAGCTCCTCAGAAATAATGCCCACACTTTAGTCCAAGCATCTACAATCCATCCGCAAACGGTGGCGTAACTCGCCCGGCGCTGCCTTCCACTTATCGTGAAACTGTGGTCTCCGTCTGTCATCCATCGCTCCCACGCCGCTCGCAGCCTTACTTTGAACGGCCGCTTCACACTGATGTCGAGCGGTGGAAGCTCCTTTGTCAGACCCCCGGGATAACGGCGAGCACAGCGTTCATTTGATTCACCTTTTTTTTCACATCGGCTGTGAGATGGGCACGCAGCGATGGTGATGCGTGGAAAAAACCACCTGGTCTCCTCACATAGGCTACACCTCCCTCAGCTACGCTTTCATCATATCCTCATCCATCCAGCCTTTTCCATTTGCGTTAATATCATATGTCATCAGAGCGATGTGTCTGTCTCGCTGTCAGCTCCCAGATCAGCTTCTCTGATTGGTTGATGCGGCGCGTCCAACAGCAAAACTTCAATTTTTCCATCTCGAGCAGCAGCAGCCCGTTGGCAGATGCTTAAACGCTCCTGCTGCTCAAAACGCGCTGCAGGACCTTTTGCTGCACCTATACGCGCGTCAACCATTTACTTTGCATGTAAACTCGCTGCTTCTGCTGCACTTGCTGGGTCCGGTTCACACCGATGTCGAGCGGTTGAACAGCGAGCACAGGGTTAATTTGTTTCCCCATGTTTTTCACATCAGCTGTGAGATGGGTACGCATGGAGTTACATATTAACAGCGATGGTGATGAGTGGAAAAAAAAAACACGGTCTCCTTACATTCAGCCACTCTTTCATCATCTCCTCAATGAGGTGGTCTCAAAAGTCGCAGTTACAACACACATAGGGCGCACCGCACAAAAGGGCGCACCGCACATTTTGAGGGGAAAAAAAGACGTTTAAGTGCGCCTTATAGTCGTGAAAATACGGTAATAATTTAATGACTTTAAATTTTGAATGATTTTTAATGACCCGCCAAAACCTATCACTACATGCTTCAACACTGCATTGTTTCCACAAACCTTTGAAGTGAATAGTATCTGCCAGGATCATGGCTCCAGCTTTAGCCTTGATTTCCACGTCGAATGGAGCCCCCTCCTTTCCACTGAGCGCAGCCTTAAACCAATCATGAAGCTGCTTCAGGTCCGCCTTGGAGTCCCCTTTCCCCAGCATGTGGTGTTGCAGCCCTAACCTGCTCTGGCTCACCTTCGTAAAAGCCTGACTGAAGGCAGGAGTCTGCTTGGTGAACAAACCAGAAGATGTGTGCGTCTGGAAGCTGGTGCCATTAGCTTCAACAAAGCTTTTCAATGCCACAGAGAGAAGGTCCCCAATCTTTCCTTTGGCTTTGGATGGCGACTTAAAAAGATCTTGAATCTGGCTGGCAGTTTTGCCCACTGAGCCTTCAGCCAGCACTTCAAGTGAGGAGGCTAAGAGAAGAGGGGAGAACAGAGTGTTTACAGAGCTGGCATCAGAGCGTAGGACCCGGTACAGGCGCACACCCAGAGCCCAGCTCGGGTCATTTAGGAGACTAGGAAAAGAGGGTTTGGGTGCAGCACCGGTGCTCTTTGATGAGTTAGTGATGCTGCTCTGCAGCAGGAGAACATGAAGACACACTATGAGGCAAAAGGTGAGTCTGGACCACATGGCAAACCTATAAAGAACACAAAAACATAAGGACGTAGTTACTAAATATTGCGGCAGACTAATATAAATAAGTGCTTAGCTGTGAACTGTGAAGAAAATGAAGTGTTCATATCATAAAATAAAAATCTTAAAGTGTGTGTTATATCTGAATTCAGAGCCTCTCAACATGACACTCCTAAAGAAAATCCAGCACAGCTAACCTGGTGTCCAATAATCAAAGGGCAAGGAAGGAAACCTATGAAAAAAATAGTCCATCTATCTAAACTGTCATTCCTTTTTTTTTGACACAATAACAGTATGGCAATTTTGATTGTTGACCAATACCAACATTGACTAGATACAACATCAACACAAATTATATAAAATTTTTATACATATTTGAATTCATTCAATGCATTCAATTGCATTTTCTTTATACAAACTTAAGTCCCTACCAAGAACTTTTGTATTTGCCGTTTCGTGTACATTCTTAAATCTGTGTTGTGTTGGTGTTGGTCCACTTGAAATTTTCAGGCTTAAAAAAATTTTTATGTTTGGGCCAGCAAAGACATTTTCAACACAAATGTCTGCATCCACAACTGCTGAGCAAATTTCCCAGCCAGCCTACATCCAACCAATTCAAGAGCTTCAGAGCCTTCATACGTCCACGTCGGAAAACTAAACTCCCTGGTGAGACAGGTTGCAACATTGATTATTGGTCTTTGTAACTCATTTAAGTAGAAAAAGTAGCCTCAGTGGTATGTTTTCAATTGACTAAATGTTGCATGCTGCTTAGCCAATGTTACGTTCTGAAGAATACTATACAGAATATTCTACAATTGAACAAAACTAAAATAGATAATTCAGAAGACAAGATATGTACGGATTGCAAGTGTTGCAAAAAGCTGCTGTTGACTTAGTGGGCTATCACTGCTGGATAGAAATGCTGAAGCACTCTGAATGATGCAGCAACATGCTGTAACAGATATAGGACTGATTTTAAGCAGTCCAATCTGGCGGGCCAATCACAATGCAGAGATGTGTTTTGAATTTTTGGATGCAAAGCAGGTGGGATTTTGAGGGCCTGACGACAAAGCTGCGCAACACAGTAGCAAGCACTGCGGGAGCAGCAGCTTTCAATGGAGCGCTCCATGGAAAGTTAAAAGTTCTCTTTCTGCTGTTCAATAAAAGTAAGTTTTAAGATAATTTGAGGCAAAAATATTATACTTAAATGCGTCACTATATGGTCCATTCACCGATTTAATGCGCAATTAAAAAAACTATTTTCGAAGTTGAGAGGACCACGGCAACCAGCGGACCTCCGAGGCTAACAGCAGCCTCGGATAACAGGAGGTGCTCTAGAAGAGCCGAGCGTGTGGTGACGTCACAAGTATGCTTCTGTTCCTATTGACCCAGATTTATGCTGCGTGCTCGCGTTCTCACCAAGTTCAAACTTTCCTATGTTCTTGCAAAGACCGGACTTGACGAGAAAGCAAGCCTCGTGAATTGAGAAACGGCCATAGTTTGAAAAACGAGTTGTTCTCATCAAAAATCTTCCGATGTCTCATTCTTCGGGGCCAGACTAAGTTGCAGATTTAATCTCACATTTAGTCTGGTTTATCAGGCTAACCAGTTATCAGTCAAGAAGTCGGGGGCCCCTAAGCAACTGCAGTCTCTGCTTACTGATAGTTACACCATTGGTTGGTCAATAACATAAAAAAATACAAATAACCATTAGCAAAAAGTAGTTTTTTTAAGTATACTAAAAGTGCACTTATTTCATACTTAAAATCAGGCAATGCACTTAGAATTTACTTATTTTAAACTATATTTCATATTCTTAACAATAGTATAGTCAAGTGTACTTGACTATACTATTGTTTACTAAAGTATAACTTAAAAATGTCCCAATTTAGTTCGAAGAAGTATTACTTTAGTATTACTTCAAGTACACTAAAAGTACATTGTTCGGTATACTTTCTAAACTTATACTTAAGTATCCTTAATAGAATTTACTTCAAGTATACTACTTTTTGCTAAGGGAACCGATACTGAAGGGTGTAACGTGAAAAAAAGTGAATAAATTCAATACTTCAGCACTTCACTATCGAGTGTATACTGGAAAGAGGGAATGTCCCCCTTGGAGTTTTAATGCAAACAGAACAGTGCCCTTTCTCCTTCACGCAAACCTGCGTCCCTTAGTGCACATACTTAAACTCGCTGTTAATATTTGAGATAAAGCGCTATAAACAGCCTGAGGGTTCCTTCTTCACTGTTAAATCTCCTGCATGCGCAAAGCGTTCCTGCAGAGCCGCAGCAGCAAAGTGGTTTTTTTTTTGTAAATTCCTCCCCGTTTGATAATTATCCTTCCTGCAGCGCCAAAAAATCAAAGTACGACAATTAAGTTTGATGAAGTTGCAAATAAAAAAAAATGAAAAGAAGAGGAGTGGGTGAAAAAGAAAGGCTTTTCAGACAGAACAAGCGAGTGAAATTGATACACTAAAACATATTCATCTAGTGAGGAAAAAGGAAAGAGAAGGCGAATTATTGATTGTGAGGAGACTGGAAACATCTGCTGCCTGGTTCTGCCCACTCTGGTCGGATTTCCCTCTCCAGAAAAAAAAAAAAATAAATATAGAGAGGAAACATAAGAGAATGACTCGATTTGCTCATATTTACCGTTAATTAATTCAATCGTCTCTCCCAGTAGCTGTTTGTTTCTTTCTTTTAACTGAGCCTCCAGAGGAAGTAAAGGCTGGGACCGAATCGGGATCTCAGACGTGGCAGGAAAGAAAGGAATTTTTTCCTGCTTTTCCGAAATTTCCAAAATCTGGGAACCGCACTGAGTGTGGACCCCTACTGGAGCCCAAAAATTAAATAAAAGTGGGACAAAATACCAACTTTTAAAAAGAACTTTTCAGTTTATCCGATGCAAAAATAGTTTATTAGGGGTATAACTATTATTAGAAGAACTGAATTAATAAACTACTAAATAATTAGTGTAAAATGCATCTTCTAAATCAAGGTAAGGTGTAAAGGTTGCAGTAAGGGACGCATTTTTCCTTGCATTTAAACTGAATTTATATTGTTTCAAAAGCTGTAGTTCTCCTTGTCTTTCAAGTGGGGTCGCTACTGATCTTCTTGCCTCACCTCAGTAATCATGGATTCATGCAGGCCAATTGGGGTTCCACTTAGACCTACCATTAGAGAGCTGTCTGCTTCATTGGAAAGAACAAGTTCAACGCTGAGTGAAGCTCCAAACAGAAGTTGTTCTGGGTCCTTGCTGACTTTCCTTGATCTAACCCAATAATGATCTCTTCCCCTGTCAGATTTATATTCATATTTCTAAGAAAGGTTTGTCTTTTTTTCTGATTTGGAACAAGAAAGATATCTAATTAAAAACAAAGAATCAATATAAATGGAGTATTAGTTGTTAAATTGATTTTTTTTTACCCCTATATTAAAATGGTATGTTCAAGGATGAATGATTTTGGGATTTAGATGTATAATCCCTTTATACAATTCATAGTTGAATGTTTCTGTTTTTACATAACAGGAAATTGTTGGAGACGCTATACAAAAGTAAATAGTTTAGAAAATCTTAGATAAATGTTTAAAGGGGAATGCCGTTTTTTTTTTTTTTACATTGGGCCCTTGATTTTACGTTATTACATCATGTTCTGCTCAACAATATGAGAATTTTTATGTCACTTGGAGCTGTTCTGAAGATATTCGGTTAGGTTATATCCAAGTAACATCTTCCTATGGGAAACAAGTTGAAGGCACAAACTAAACTGTTCATAATTTATCATTTATGGTACGCCAGCATTCATAACATGTAGGCGAATCCCTGTCCCCCAGACATCTTATATATTTATATTTTTTATATTTAAATATTTTTAAAAACAAAGCGTATGACATCATCCGCGACTACGCTCTACCCCTTCTATTCATTCAGCTAGCTAATCTGAATGTGTGAGATCATCTGTGGTAGCAGCACTACACATCTTCCAGGCATGTGAGTAAAACTAGCAGCAGTTCAGCAGACAGGATGAATGAATGGTAGCCGGCGCGAGCAGATGATGTCATACACACTCCGCTTTGTTTAAAAAAAATTTTAATATAAAAAAATAACTGCGGATGTCTGGGGGAAAGTAATTCGCCTACATGTTATGAATGCTGGCGTACCATAAAGAATAAATTATGAACAGTTTAGTTTGTGCCTTCAACTCGTTGCCCATAGGAAGACGTTACTTGGATATAACCTAACCGAATATCTTTTGATATCTTTGGCTGTATGTTGAACAATGTGCTTCCAATTAACTCAGAATAGGTTTCCTCTTACTATTGGAAAGAAGCATTCCCATGGCATAATGCAGCCACCACTGTGCCATTCCTTTGTAGTCTTAAAGCATAATTTTGATCTTATCTGAACAGCATCCATCTTCACATGTTTGCTGTTGCCCTGTTCACTCTTCATAAATGGAAGAGTCTCACAACTTATATAGTAGCTGTCACATCAGAAAATTCTCCCACTTTGAGCAATACAGCTCCTCCAGAGGGATTTTAATCCTTCTTGTTCTTTCTGTGACTGATGTTCAGTTGTCAGATTTGGTAGATGGGTGGATCACTGCTTTAAAACCCTGCTTTCAACTTCTTCCCCTTTTTTTTCAGACCTGTCTGTTGTATCCTTTGGTCTTCATGATGTTGTTTGTTCCCTAACGTTCTCTAACAAACAGCCAAGGCCCCCTAAAAAGCCCTTCATTTGTGAAGAGAACTAGAAAGTATGATTTGGTATTACTTTTTGTTGGTTTATTAATAAAATTTTTATAAAAAAACATTAAAATGGTTGTGCCAAAATGATCAGCAAATAACCCAATCCCTTCATTCAGCAGTGTAATTTGAGGATGGTTTGTTCCTTTTTGGTAAACTTTTATTTTTATTTTGATAAACCGCCATGTTAATCTTCCAGAAGTTTGAAGGTTTGAGCTCATGCAATAATATTTCCTGGGACCTGCAGGAAATGTTGCAGAAACTGCAATCTTTTGTCAAGAAAACCCACTGCAAGATTGCTTCATTTCTGCCTTTTCTAATTTTTCCTCTGCATAAAGCAAGGCGTGAAGAGTGGATACCTCCTAACAACAGTGCTTTGAAACAGTAGATTATTGTCTAATTTTAAAGACATACTGAGTTCCAATCAATACACCCAGGATAGGCTAAGGAGGCTGAAGATGGATCGCAGAGAGATATGGAAGAAGATAACTGCACAACACCACGGATGCTCTGCAATCAGGCCAAACATGACAGCTTGTAGACCCATCCAATTATTCTGCCCAGCCAAATCAATAGAGCCCTGGCTGATAGAAAGCCATCAGTTACTTTATGTGAAACACATTCACAGCAACATTTACAAACACATACTTACAGAGCTCTAAACAAAAGTATTGCCCCTTACTGACTACTTTATTTTTTGCTCTTTGTTTCATGTTTTCTGTTTCATAAAAAACTGATTAAAAACACCAACAGGTTTTCATTCTGGATTTCATTAATCAAAGGTAAGAGGCGATCTAATAATGTTCTGCGGCATAACTCAAAAACAAATAGGTATCACCTCCTGAGATGATGGTCAATGAATCTACAAATGATTTCTTATTGGGGAGCAGATAACAACATGTGGCAGAGAAGCCCTAGACCATCGCCCTACTACCACCAAGTTTGACCGTTTACAGTGTTTGTTGCATCCCATGTAAGGACACCTTCTAAGAGGTTCTACTTTTGTTACGTTTGTTAAAAAAATATTTACTAAAGATACAGAAACAGCCATTCAATGTGGCCCTTACCAGTCAAAAGCCAGACGAATGGCAGCCCGCTTCCCTGCAGCTCCCAGCAAAATCCCCTCCAACTCCAGCCACTGGCCTTCTCCTGGGCTTGCATATTTCTTTACTCTGACTCCACCCTTTCATTGAATTACAGGGTCTGACCAGGACACAAAGCTTCTCTTTAGATCTTAATCTCCACAAATCATGACAGAAAGAATAATTTAGTACAGCCAAGGACCAGCCAGTAGCCCTTCAAGGAAAGTAGGGAAATTTAGATTATTTTAATTAACAGTAATCTTTGTTGAACAGCCACTCTACAAAGTGTTCAGCAGTTTTCCACGGTTGCAAAGTATTCTTTATTGTGTTTATTGGTTCCCCTTGTTGAGTAATAGAGCCTTAAAATGGATTTCCAGACTAGTAGGAGGAGTTCATGAGTTTTGTTCTTGTTTGTTATTGATTTTCTTTAGATTTGGGTGTTTTTTTTTTTAATCTTATAGCTTGGTTGGTGTTTGCAGAAAATCTTTTTTGGTGTCTTACATTTTTGTTGCTCTGACCATCGTAAGGCTTGAGCGTTACAAATTAGATTATTAATAATGACGCCTAGGTGGAAGTTCAACTGAGGAAACTGATTACTTTCCCTAATCCACCTCCGACAAGCCAATCAGCTTTGAACCACACCTCCACAAAGCCCAATCAGCATCGAGATTTCATCTTAAAAGGTTTCCGTATCTACAGCTCAGTCTGCTACCCAGCCAAAGTGCAGGCAGTGGTTGCGCTATGTCTGACTTGTTTCAGATGACCCCGATTCAACCCACCTCCATCCCCTTCTCCACCATAATGCTTCATCTGACTTTTCCATGGTGCTTCTTCTACTTCGTCCCCATCAGACAGTAATTCCTCCCAGACTTTTGCTGCATCCCGCGCCACATCTCAACCAGTCTGGCAAAAGACTGCCATGTTGAGCCTGGTTCTGCCAAAGGTTTCTTCCTCTGATAAACCTGTGTTGATCCAAGCTGGACTTCCATCTTCCAGTTACCTGAGGGAAGCACTAGTATCACCTCACGCAGCCAATTGGATCTCATCAATACAGCTCAAGTACACTGTCTCGTCAACCAGCAGTCTATAGGCTGAACCTACTTCATCTATCTCCACTCGACCACCAGTTTCAGGCCTGGGGGGAAACAGCCCTATTCTTACACTCCTGCTTATGCATATCAAAGCAAATGTTTCCTGCCGTGGTCTGAGTGCCAAAGACTAAAGTAATTGTATCAATAAAAATGCTTCTAATTGGCTTTCTCTTTCAGTGTAAGTTATTCAGATTGAAATGAGTTTCTCACATTGTTGTTAATTCATGATAAAATGTACACAGGGCCAGGTCAATTTGTGCATTAACTTTCATAAGCAGACTACACTTTTTTATATCGGCAGATACACAGTGGTATCAGTAAGCCTATGACCCCCCATGAGATGAGTCACCTTTCTTCTCCTGAGACCCCCCTGGGATTGTATCACAGCAAGGATTGTCAGTAATGAGCTGCGACACACATTACAGTGTAGGTGATTCAGGAAAAAAAAAGAAAAGAGCCAGGCTTGCTCCACAGATAAACGAGTCCTCAGGGAACGGGGTCGGAATGAGAGAAGCATCTCATTCAGCAGATTGTCAGGTTGCACTTTTTCCACAGTGCATCTGCCCATCTAACCCCCTTACCCCACCTCCAGGGGGCTCACCTGCGCCACGCTCTGGCTATACCATTTGCCTTTCAACACCCAGACTGTGCCTTGAGCCTTAAGTCGAGTTGGGAGCTCCAGATGTTATTGTCTGAGGCTGTAAAGATTGTAATTCAGCTCACATGTCATCCATTTGTGGGGCTGTTTGCCATTGTTCTTGGCTGCTGTTGAGGTTTAATGCCCCTGGCTCAAGGCTCGGCAACAGACTCAGCGCCTTACTACAGAAGTCCTTACAGTCCCTGCCAAGTCGCCTAGAGCCATCTACTCTCCACATGTTCAGCTCTTTTTT